TGCACTGTACCAGCCCCTTGTGAACATTCCTGCGGGTGGTGAGTCCACTGGAAGGTACCAACCGCCCTAACCGGATTCGATCTTGCCCAGGAGGTGAAGCCTGGGATTCCACACAAATGACAGAGACATTGCCTCTGGGCCAAAGCGCCACGTAATTAAATATTATTTGCTCTAATTGGATAAACACAAAAACATGATTTGGCCCTGTAATATTTTTGCTGTTGGAACAAACTTATAAATGTAATATTGCAAATTATACTTAAAATAAACAGTTTGGATTTCACTCTGTTAGACAGCAATTAGTTTGGAAAGCCAGGTGATTCCTCTTGATCAAAACAAAATAGATTTGTCCATATTTTAACTGGGAAATATACCTAAAACAGAAATAGTGGCATGGGATGTGTTTCCGGTTTTTCATTACTCTCAGGGTTTACATGTAAAACTGACAGCAACCGGTCAACAAACTAAAGACTAAGTTTCAGATTAGTTCAACTTTGGCTTGGACATGTAAAATAAGCAGTGCACAATGTTAAAAATAACAAAAATACTAATGGGGGTTCGAATCTCGCCTTGGCTTTGGTGTGTTGAACAAGTGCTCATTTCTTGCTCCCCAGGCAAAACTGAAAAAAACTGAACTTTATTTGAACCACTTTTATTCCCAAAAATGATATTCTTGCCAAAAAAGGAAACAGAATCACAAAGCAGTTAAGTATGGAGACTATATTAAATGTTTCATTAATTTAACCTGTGCTCTTCCCTTTGACCTTCTGCAATAATAACTCTGAGCCCCACAAGAGGATCTTTGAGGATCTTACCCCCCCCCCCCCCCCCCACATTGGGAACATCCATCCATCCATTCCGCTTATCCGCTACTGGGTCGTGGGGACGTTGGGAATAACAGGGTTAAATATGTGCGTGTATGTGTACAATGACAATAAGGTGATTTATCTTTTAATGACAACATTCCTCAGTCCAGCGTTTGTTTCACACACACCAGCTGCATTTATATAACATGCAAACTTAGAACTGACTTATAAAAACACTGTGTGTAACTTGGCAACACTCTGCTCTCTGTGTGAATTCTGAGGTTCTGGTGTGGGAGCCACGTAGTTGTAATGCTTCATGAGCAGCTTATTTACCAGTGATGAAACCTAACCGAGCTCAAAGATGCAGCTGTTGGCTGTGAAGTCAATTAGTCCTCATTGGTGTTACAGCGTTGACATTAGTCTAGGCGGGCATGTTTTGATTAGAGATGACAGATGAATGGCTGCTTTCGGGCAGCCAGACATTCCTCACCCTTCATCCCCTGGGTGAGAGTATTGAAGCTGACTGGAATATGAAAAGTTAACAGCTGAGTGTTTTTGCCAAGATGCCTTTCATCTGCACACAAACCTCCTATAAATATGACGCCATGCGCCGTACCAGGTAGTAAAGCCCCCGATAACAGCAATGGGCCATGTCACATATATAAGACTCAGCTGCCAATATGTTATTCCTACACTGTATATCATGGCAATAATGCCCTAAAATGTGGGCATTTACACACAATGGCCTTTTGTTGTGCAGGTTATTTATATGCTGCTGTGAGGTAGTGCAGAGCTGGTGGGTGAGTGCATCGAGGGGCTCGTATTGTTAGGGAATCAGTGGCTCTTGTTTGTGGAGCTGGGAGTGTGTGTTAACAATGCCTTTTTATGTCCCTGAGTATGTGCCTGTCGGCAAATGTTCCCTCAGAATTTTTGTTTGTGGGCCATTTTGTGTGTATGTGTGTTAGCGACAGCAAACATAACACCCTTAGAGGCCAGTTTTGTATCAGGCACTTGTGAGCATCAGGGTTTGTGTGTCTCCAATATACAGTACGAGTGCAAATTACTTAGTGTGGATGTGTGGAAAGTGGTGGAGCCGAAGGGGTTTATTCTGCCCGCCCCTGCTAATGGAGCTTTTCACTCTCTCCCTGCATTCATGTGACAGTATGGTGACAGAAAAGGGGGAGCTGGGGATTAAAAGGGTAGAGGCAGCACCTTATTAAAGAGAAAGAAAGGGTTTGAGTGTGTTGATTGGATTAACTTGTTTGGGCTCATAAAGAGGGGGCGGCACAGCCGCTTGTTAAAAGCACTGCATGGGGTGTCCCATAGTGAGACAGCGGGATCACCATTCAATTAGACTGTAGCCCCACCCGTGCTCATTGTAGAGGCAGTCTGCCAGACTCCTGGACCCAGCCTGGTCCTGCATTCAACAGGGGAAAGTAAGGCTACATCCACACTCCTTCAAACCTACATTATAGGACTAACCTTGTCGTTTATGCTAGCAGGTGTTTGACAACTTTTATTTTTGCAAAAGAACTCTCAGTTGTTATTATAAAACTCCAGAGATCAGTTTAGGAAGTATAGATGAGTTCAAACTGAGAGTTCAAACTGAGACCTTTGGAAATGATGACTTAGTTTTCTGCATTCACTGTAAGGTCACTTGCTTTTTTATCACATGATCTCATTCCCAGACAAACACAAAGTAGAAAAAGCAACATGCATAAGCAGCAACTATTGTGGTGTCTCTGTTGCCATTGTTAGCTGTTATTGTGTCAAATTCAGTGTGGTACAATGAGCTCACAGAGGCTGAGATTTACTTTTCTTCAAAGTAAAAGTCACAAAAACGTATCTTGGGTTATGTTAACTCTACCTTCCAGTGGACTCACCACCCGCAGGAAGGTTCAAGGGGTCTGGTATGGTGCAGTGTGATTTGGGTGGCGGTCATAGAGACTGCTGCCCTTGCAACCCGGTAACGGACAAGCGGATGATAATGGATGGATGTTAACGCTACAACAGGTGTAGGTTACTGGTCACATGACATGTTTTTGAGCTGTGACAATGTCTGTATTTGCCTAACCTAGATGTTTTAAACTACTTTTTACCATGGGCCAATACAGTCTGGTTGTTGAGGAGCGGCAGAAAACGACAAAAATTAAAAAGAAAGAAAAAGTCAAAGTAAAACTCCCCATAACACTGAACACCACAATAATGTAGAGATGGTTTTGTCATTACCTGTTGCAAAAAATACTTTGTAATTGGGAGAGAATAATAAAAAAAATTAGATTTTCCTTTCATCAATAATTTGTTTGTTGACTGTTGCTGATTAATTTTGATATTCACTGTTCCAAATTGTCTAAGCATCAGCTGCTCTGCTCTTCCTTCACCTCAAACATGTACATGACTTTAAACACACATACACACACACACTGCTCTCTGTTATACTATGCACTGGCCAGAATGTTTATCTGAGCAAACAGCTTTGAGCCCAGGGAACCATCTTTTCTGATCTTCTCTGGAGTTTAAAGAACACTTTAACTATGAAACAGCCCTGTGCCAAACTCACTGCCTTTTAATACTGACTTCTTCCCTCATCTCCTGAGACTGATCTTCCACCCCCCACTGCAAACCCTGCAGCAGTATTAGCTGCTAGTCACCCAGGCTTTTGAGATATCCTTACAGTGGTGTAATAGGGGAGTGAGTGGATTTGATGAGTGAGTGAAGGGCAGGTCAGTTTTTCAATCGTTTCTGTGTAGGCCGGTGAATGTGTCCTCGCAGGATTTGACCTGGACTTTGCCGGTTGTCTTAAGCCAGCTGGATGATGGGTCTCCGGGTATTTGGTTTGGACATAATTTACTGCCATTGAGAGGAGGAGGAGTGGGAAAGGGGAACATGGCAAACAAGTCAAAGACTTGCACTTTCTGCTTTGCTCTTAAAGGCAATGATAGGAGAAAATTGCTCGTTGAAATTGATTTGAAAAAAGCAGGTCTCCCTCGGCAAAGTATAATGCCTCAGAATACATTTGGTGAGCAGCAAATGGAGAAAAATTCAGGGTATTTACGTGATTGTCTTTCATTTCAGAGAAGGGGAAAACTGCGGAGGTATGCCCAACTAAGGCTGGCTTTTAGTCTCAATCTACACCATGTGTGTCCCTTTTCCTCTCTTCTAACCACTATCTTTTTACAAATGGGTTGTGAGGATGGCAGAAGTCATTGCTTTGCAAGTCGCAGGTAAGGCTCAAGTCTTTGCACTCAAGTCTGAGTCGAGTCCAAGTCAAGACTGAAAAGTGTCATGTCCCAAGTCCTGCCTTTTCTATTTCGAGTCCTTTTGAGTCCTTTTAAACAAAATAATAATATATTTACACAGATCATGTATGCTTTCAAAATCTGTATTTATATATCAAAACAAGTGCAATTGAAATTGCAGAAAAAATATTGGTGACATTGCACTTCCTAATTGTAATAATAAATAAACCACTCCTTTAAGGAATAAACATTTGAAAAAGCAAGTGCAACTGTAATTATCTGAACAGTGCTAACATTGCATTTCAATTTCATATTGTATTTAAACTAGTTTCACAGCAGTTTCTGTCCAGTCCTCTGTATCTCATCTCATATTGCCGGTGTGTGTGTGTGTGTACATGTGAGAAACATAAATATATGAACACAACCTTGAACATGGTTTTTATGTCAGGGCCCCTATGCTGCATTGCATTTGCAAAAGACCAAATTGGCTAAATGTTTGTCAGTCATTTGTGCATGATGGGGTAGTATGATGCCACCATGGCTGAAAACTCTGGAGGCAGGCACTGCTGTCAGATTTCAGTGGTTTTCACATTTGGTTTGATTTTGAAAGCAGGAAGCTGCTAAGACACCAAAGGCCTTCCCAAGCACACACACTCACATAGCCCCACACATTCAAAGAGAATTTCTCCTAAACTCTTTTCACACCAACTCTTTAGAGTCTAGACGACTATAATTTTTCAACTGGTGCCATGACCCAGATCGAAACATAGCAAGAATCTTTCACTGCCAAGACCCTAATGACCACTCAGAACAGTGAAGGAAGAGTCTTCATGTTCAATGCCCAGAACAGAAGGGCATTCTGTCCTTCAGCTATGTCAAGGTAGTGACTCAGCTGTAGTGCTGGAGTAATCCCAACATCCTTTTTCTGCCTCTTATGATATGCAGCAAAGAGCCCTTCTCCGAGGTCCTCTTACTCTTCTTCATCAACCCAAGGCACAGGTTGCTCAGTCTCTGCAGCATCTTGCAGGATCAATTCTGAAAAAGCAATAGCAGACACAAATGGCCTTATTATCATTTGTGTTGGTGATGCAGTGTGTTAGACTGAAATACTTAATTATTGTTGCAGTCAATTAGATCAGATTGTGAGGGGAAAAGTTACATTAGACTCAGTAACATTTACCTTTCACTTGTTGTGCCACCTCTGCCTTGACATCATGCTTGACCAGCACATGGGGCTCCACCCACGACAGAGAAAAGGCTGGATCCAAGGCAGCTGCTTTGAGGTAGACGGGATTGGAAAATGGAGCATCAACCACATCTTGTGTCCTAGCCATTTTCACATTGATGAAGATTCCCAGAAATCTTTTGTTCAGGGATGCCTGGAGACTTCTGACCAGGCCACACAGGAAGCAGACTTGAGGCTTCAGCTTCTCAAGGTGGTGGTTGAGGGACAAGACAGAAGGAACAACAGCACTAATTGTGACCTTCTCCCCCTGTGTCAAATCAGTTGCTTCTCCAAATGGTTTCAGGATGTCCACTAACTCCTTCAACAGATTCCACTCCCGTGCTGTGAATGACAACTCCCTGTGCCCAGCCTTTTCTAGAACAGCACAGAGCTTTAGATGATTGCACTGGAGAACTGCCTTCACTTGCCGAAGTGTTGAGTTCAATCTTGTGTTGACTGCAGCAGGGATGCCTTTCTGTTCTCCAAATTCAGCATCAAACACATCTTTGAATGTTGTGCTTGTGTGCAGCAGTGAGCTGAGTTTTGATAACTTTGAAAGAGAAGGCAATACCACTTTTGTTTCTTTCAAGCCGTCTCCCACCACCAGCTGAAGAGTGTGTGCAAAACACTGCAGGCGCTGTTTCTTTGCCATAGCAACATCTACTGTTTCCTGATCTTCCAGGGTTAAGTCACACCAGAGCTCAGGGTCATCAAGATAATCTCCATCATCGTCATCCTCTTGTTCACTTGGGAAACATACAGAGAATGCTTTTCTCATGTTAGCAGCATTGTCACTAATAATGTTCTCCAGTTTGTCTTTAATGGTGTATTCATCACATATTGACTCAAATTGGTCACAGATTCTTTCAGCTGTGTGTGAGCCTTTGAAGCGTTCACAGGCCAAGAGATTAGACCTTAGCTGTATCCTCTCTGCCTCTTTCTCTATCCAGTGCACAGTGACACCAAGGAATCCCCTCATCTTTCGGTCAGACCAAATGTCCACAGTGACTGAAACATGTTCAGTGTTGCTCAACTGAGTTTTTAGTTTAGTCTCTTCAGCAAGGTTCTCTGTTTTTGATGTCAGTGTTCTGCGACACACTGGGCTGTACTTGCTGTCAAGTACTGTCAGAAAGTGCCGAAAACTCTTGTTTTCCACGATAGACAGGGGCAAGTCGCAGTCAATAATCAGGTCGGACAGTATTGCATTGGTAATAGCGTTTGATTGGATGTTGTGCCGACAGCATATACACACACAGACACACACGTACACAATGAGAGATACAGAGCGCTCCTTAATAACTTATTTTATAATCTTTAGGTTTTGAAGAAAGTATCAAGTCTTGTCGAGTCAAAGGGCTCAAGTCCAAGTGAAGTCACAAGTCATTGATGTTTAAGTCCAAGTCGAGTTGCAAGTCTCTTTACATTTTGTCAAGTCGAGTCTAAAGTCATCAAATTGATGACTCGAGTCTGACTCGAGTCCAAGTCATGCGACTCGAGTCCACACCTCTGCTGGACAGCATGTGACTGATGTGACAATACTGTTCTTCTACAACATCAATCTCTTATGCAACCTACTACTGATATGACTAAATCTGAAAATGGCATTTTATTTCATACTCCATCAGGCAAACCGGTACTGCCACCATCCCTCTATTCTTGGGCTGCACATGTGTCCCATGGGCAGTGCCATGTGACAACAGCAGGGATGATTGGTGCAGTACAACAAGTTTTTTACTGTCCAAATTTTCAAAAAAGCTGCACAGAAGCATGTACAACAGTGCATAATCTGTTGAAAACATAATGCTCAAGGAGCTGTAAGAACAAGACAAGGCTAATTTCCGATGACAAAGGAACCCTTTAAACATCTACACATGGACTATATTGAACTAAACAAATCACAAAATCATTATATAGATACATAGTCATTGTCTGTGCTTTCAGTAAATGGACTGAAATTCATCCAACTGCTAATGCCAATGCTGAGTTCACGTGCAAAGTTTTGAAAACAGCAATATTTCCGAGATATGGATTCTCAGAAATTATCTACTCAGATAATGGGACACATTTTACAGCAGCATGTGTAATGTGGACTGTGTGGAATAAGAGGGACATCATGTTTCTTCACTTTTATCACATTCATTATTGTGTTTCCAATTATGTGGTGGGATTACCAAACAAGAATAGACAATAATAACATGAATGGAACTGCATCTTATTTTCAGAACAACTCATCTCATCTACTGAGATGGAGAGCTTTGCTGGACAATCACGACCATGAGGACAATCATTGGTTTCAAGTTGCTAATTTCACAGCAGCAGCACATAATTTAACTGATTGTTATGTTTGTTCTTTTGTTCGATAGCCCTTCACAACTGCAAAGGCAATAGTACTAAGCTGCGTGTATTTATGCCAGATTTGGCTACCTTGCGAATTTCTGAATATGCACAATGGCGTAAGCCTGCTACATATTCCAATAAAACAAACTACACTAATTTAGAAGGATTAGGTATTGCACGATGGCCGAAGGTTAGGGTGACGTTAAATCGACCAAAGAATAATGCCCACCGGGCTTGACGGGAGTTGAGGCGTTTGGCAGTTTGAATATAGGACAGATTTTTATGATCGGTCCAGACAA